CATATTTTTCAAATCCGACTAAACCCATGGACTTTCGTCATGCTATCTCTGTGTGTTACGTAGACCTTTCACTTGAACTTTGATACAGAGTATGAGAATAAATCGGGAAGGAGAGAGCAGCAGGGTCCCATCACAACGAGATGCGACCTTTCGTGTGTTGCGTGTTGGTGACAACAATCTGGTCTGTCTTCGCCAGAACTACCCCATTCGTGAGTTCTTTCCCATTCATTTGTACATGGACAGTGCTTGTCCTCATATGCATGGCGCACTGTAAGCTAGCATCTGATTGTGCGATCTCATCAGTTGAGCAGTGAATGTTGAACATGTTTGATGAATTTCAGGAGCCTGACGATGCCCGGGCACTATACGAGGAGTTCAAGCTGAAGTACAAGAAGACCTATTCAAATGATGGTGCGCGCACATTTTTTTGTGACTCCGAACTCGACTGATTTAGATGATGAGCTTCGATTTAGAATTTTCAAAGACAACTTGGAGCGCGCCAAGAGACTGCAGGCAATGGAACAAGGGACAGCGGAGTATGGTGTAACGCAATTTTCCGACCTGACCAGTAAGCTGTTCTGACTGGAAGTGGAGTGGACTTGTTTTCTGTCTAGGTGAGGAGTTCAAGACGCGGTATTTGAGGATGCGATTTGATGAGCCGATTGTCAATGAGGATCCCACCCCACAAGAAGATGTGACGATGGATAACAGCAATTTTGATTGGCGAGATCATGGTGCAGTCGGACCAGTATTGGACCAAGGAGATTGTGGTTCGTGCTGGGCATTTTCTGTGATTGGGAATGTCGAGGGTCAGTGGTTCCGTAAGACTGGGGATCTACTAGGTCTCAGTGAACAGGTGAGCGAATTTCAGTGGGTATTTTCTGTTGAATCTGGTAGGTTGTGGTACCATGATTTTTTATAATGTTTCTACAACGCCATTTTGATTAAACGCTCCAGGTTCATTCACAGATCGTATGATTAGTGCGTCGTAATAACTGAATTTGCGTTGTGAAATAAGTGACCGTTGTGCTTTCATTTCTGTACCTAGCAACTTATTGATTGCGACCATTCCGATCAGGGATGTGATGGCGGTTATCCCCCACAGACTTACAGTGCAATTGAAGAGATGGGCGGGTTGGAGCTCCGATCGGATTACCCGTACACAGGAAAGGACGGAATATGTTATATGGACCAATCGAAGTTCGTAGCCTATGTGAACGGTTCAACTCGCTTGCCATGGTGCGAAAAGACACAGGCGAAATCATTGAAGGAAATCGGTCCACTTTCTTCTGGTTTGAATGCC